CTGTACATGTTGATGATGAAAAGTGAAAGGGGGTGAAAGAACAATGGGAGTGATTAAGCTTTTCTTTCTTAACTATTGGAGGTTGGGAGCCTCTTTAATGCTAACATTATAACAGGGTAAAAGGCCTTCAGCTCTAACAGTAACAGTAGAATACTAAGAATACCCAGAACTGTTTTAAAAATGAGAAACTCAAGCATAAATGCCGCGCATGTCAGTGACTCTTAAACTTGCAGATAATCTCTGTCCTCTTTTACATAAAACGTCTGAATATTTATAAAGCAAAAGAACTACCTTAATATCTTTTAAAATTCACAAGCTGATGGTAGCAGGAGGAATAAATTCAAACTTGTTTCACTGAACACTCATTGTACCTGCAGCAAAAAGACTCTTCTCGTGTTAGTGATTATGAAAATGTGAACTTCTGGTTTCTTTCCTTGGTTTTGAAAAGTGAAGAAGTGGGACCAGCAGATGGCATAATGGTTATGTTGTTGGACTTCCACATGGCCAATCACGGTTCAAGTCCCGGACCCAGTGGCTTGAGAGTCACACTGGGTGCGTGTGCGTGTGTGCCCGAGATCCTGAGAGGAGAATGGAGGAGAGACTGTGGCGTGGCCATCCCCCCCTGAGGGGTGATTTCTCACTTTCTGTCTCTCTGTCTCTTTCTGTTTCTCTGGTGATGTATGTGCCCTATAGCAAAATTCTCTCTCTAAAAAGAAAGAAAGGAAGAAAGAAAGAAAAAGAAAGAAGGAAGGAAGGAAGGAAGGAGAAAGAGAGAGAGAGAGAGAAAGAGAAAGAAGAGAAAAGAAGAATGAGGGTGTCTGTACCTACCAACTCACATCACGACCCGAGAGAGCTGTCCCCATGGATGGGGCCTGCTTGACACTAGAAGTGGCACTGGGTGAGAATTTTCTGTATTTTGACTTTAAAGTCTGGTATTATAATGTTTTGGACCAAAGAGTGTATTTAGACTTCCTTTCCCTCTGCAGCAGCTACTACTGTAGAGGCCATTGTCTACATCCTCCTAGCACAGGCTCCCCCAGGCCTGTTCCCTTCCAGGAATGGTCGGCTAGTGAGGGCCTCCGACCTCCGGCCAGGGTTCTACCTTGGCGGTGTAAGGCGCTCTTGCCGACGTCCCTTAGCTAACCGCTGTGCGTTGCTGACAGCCTGCTGCGCAGCTACGTCCAGTGTACCACCCTGCAGAGAGCAGCTCCTCCCTAAACCGTAAGAGCACACGTGGCAGGCCCAGGCCTCCGTGCAGCAGTCACACAGCCCTCTGCAAGGCAGACCCACATGGGAAGGTCCCAGGTCAGCTTCCAGAGACCTCCCTGAACAGACCAGGCACAACCGCCCAATCCGGGCTGGCCGAGGCTGAGGGGTGTCGTGGCGTGGACACCCTGTTGAGAGTCTCTCTCTCTCTCTCTTCCCCCACGCCTTTCTTGCTCACAGAAAGAATAAATAAATGTTTTTTAAATGCACATCTGAGCTGGCAACAGTCTAAGGCTAGGAGAGGGTGTCCAGCAGGCAGCTACCAGCAGGCCTCAGAGTTGGGCACATGCCTTTCCAGCGTACCATCCACCTGGCGTGGCTTGGCTTGAGGCTGTTCTGTGAGGTTCACCTGCTCGCGTCAGTTCAAGGTCACTTTCTTGCTTCTACAGTTTTCCATCCTCCCATTGCTTGGGAGTGCTGCTATTACCACTGCTGGCCACAAAGCGGTGCAGCCCCTCAGCGTTCAGCACCTTGGTGGAAAAGCCATCTGGGCCCTTTAGGGAGGCAAGATTCTGTTGGACAGAGACGGTGCCCTGAGTGGCCAGCCCCCAGAGAGCTGCTGAGCTCAGGGGTTAGCCCTGGATCCACCATTTTGCACTCTGGGAACAAAGATAACCTGCATGTTGGGACCAAAAGATGGTGTAATGATTACATCACTGGACTCCCACAGAGTCAAACATGGTTCGAGTCCTGGACCCGGTACCTTAAAACTCACACTGGGTGCTTGTGTGTGCATGCCCAAAATTCTGAGAGGAGAATAGAGGAGAAGGGATTGTGGCATGGTCATCCCCTTGGGGGGTAAGTTCTTGCTTTCTGTCTCTCTCTCTCTGCGCCCTATAGCAAAAATCTCTGTCTTAAAAAAAATAAAATAAAAAATAACCTGCAGTGATCACTGTGCTTCGTGTTGTTGCTGCAAACAGCAGAGAGAATGGCTCCAGGGACCTGCAGTTCTTCAGGACCCAGCTTTATTCTCACTGGCTGTGTGACCTGGGGCAGACCCCATCCCGTCTGAGCCTGTCTCCTCCTCTGACAAGGGAAGAGATTGGAGCGTAGTCTTACTGATCGCTAAGGGCCCTCCCAGCAACCGCGCGGCCGGCAGCAGCAACGCCTGCAGTGCCCCTTCCAGTGAGGGCGGCAGCCATCCTCACTATGCAGCGCCGGCCACCAGCTTGCTGGAGTTTTAAATCCTGCCGCCAGGTTACTGTCTCCCTGGAAGCAAAGAGTGAAATCAGAACTCTAGTTTTTAAGTATTTTCTTTCTTTTTATTTGCTTATTTCTTCTGTGAACGAATGACAGAGGGAGTGCTCAGACCCCAATAGGGTCCTGACACCACGATCCGTCCCCAGCCTCAGCAGCCCCAAATCGTAGGCACACACGTGCCTAGCACTCTCGGGAAGGTCTCGGTGTGGACCAGGAATGTCCACGCATGAGTCAGCATCACGTCTGCCGTCTGCTGCTGCACCACCATCCAGACCCTGACCAGGATTCCGCACCACAGAAATTTTTTTCTTTGTTTTAGGTTTTTGCCATAGGCTGTGTGCACTCACCAGAGAGATAAGGGGGGGGTGAGAAATCACACATCCCTTCTCCATTTTCCTCTCAAGATTTTGGGCACACATGCACACACACCCTGCTGAGTCCGGGCTCAAACCATGATCAGCCATGTGGAAGTCCAGCACCTTAACCACCATGCCGCCTACTGGCCCCCAGAGGGCGGGGTCTACTGTTTACTGCAGCAACACAAAGCACAGTGATCACATGCAGGTTGTCATTGCTCCCAGGGTGCCAAATGGTGGACCCCGAGCTCTCCGAGGCGGAGGAGCGCTCACAGAGCTTCCTTTACAGGGGTTCTCAAACTCTTGCTAGCCTGGAACCCCATTCAGACCAATGCTGCCATGGAAGCCGGAACAGAAAATGGAAGTGCTCCAGGGAGAAGCCAGAGCCCAGAGAGAAGAAATCAGCTGTCCTGTGTCGCTCAGCAAGCGAACCGCAGAGGTGGCACCGTCCCCGGAGTGAGCGAGGGGTACAGGAACTCAGTCATAGTCGGAGCCAGGCAGTGGTGCAGGGCCAGGAAGGGGCACACAGACTCCCACATGCTTTTGCTGTGCAGGGTTTACCCACATTGTGACCTAATCCTCGTGAGACCCCACAGGCCTCTTCTGAGCTCAGAGAAGTTAAGCAACTTGGCTCAGGTCACATACCTCAAAAGTGGCTAAGCTGGGACTCGAGCTCAGTGTCACAGGCCATGCCCTGGCTTTCCTGGTGGACAGAAGCTTATCCACTCACTCACTCACTCATTCGAATCTTTTTTTTTTTTTTTTGAGAGGTTTTTCACTATAGGGTGCGTGTGCTCACCAGACAGACAGAGAGAGACATAGAGACAGAAAGCGAGAAATCACCCCCCAGGGGGGATGGTCACACTGCAATCCCTTCTCCTCCATTCTCCTCTCGGGATCTTGGGCACGCACACATACGTGCCCGGCGTGAGTTTTAAGCCACCGGGTCCAGGACGCGAACCGCGGTCGACTACGTGGGAGTCCAGCGACATAGCCATTACGCTAACTGCTGGTTCCCACTCATTCGAATCTTGATCGAGCACCAAGTATGTACCAGGCATGCTGTAGGCCTGTCATAGAGCTGTGGACCAGGTGGCTGAGGAAGTGGGCCGTAGAGTGCCTGCCCTGGTTGCACCTCGGTGTTAAAGGAGGAGAAAGATGGTCAACAAATGACAGGAGGCAAGAAAACTGAAGCAGAAAGAGGGCTGTGACAGAGTGGGGTGCGTGTGCACCTCTCTTTCATCTGGAGCCGTGTTCTCAAGGCATGGTCCACATGCCCATCTCTGTACTGTTGGTTTCCAGTCTGCAACCAGAGTAAAGAAATATTGCTTCTCAGTGCCAGCAGGTGGCATGGGGCTTAAGGTGTTGGACTCCCACATGGCTGACTGCAGTTCAAATCCCAGACCTGGTGGCTTGAAAATCACACTGGGCACTTGTGTGTGGTGCCCAGAATCCCAGGAGAATGGAGAAGAAGGGATTGCAGCATGGCCATCCCCCCAAGGGGTGACTTCTCACTTTCTTTCTCACTGTCTCTGTCTCTTTCCAGTGAACGCACATGCCTTACGGGAAAAATCTAAAAGAAAAGAGAAATACTGCTTCTCTGTTTGTATATTTATAGGACAAACATATCGCACTTTGGCCCTGGCCTGAAATATTTCTGAATATTAGGTCAGGGCGGCTGGCACGTGCATGCCCTGCCCCTGGGACCCTTGGCCACAGCTCCCCGTCACCCTCTCCTTACCATCAGGCTGCACAGACCCTGGGGAACTTGCTGTCATTGGGCCTCCCGCCTGGCATGTGCGAGCGTGCAGCGCCTGTTAGTCACCCCTGCGGCGAGTCCACAGCTGATGAGAGCTTTGTGCACGGTGGAAGGAGCTGTCTCCAACTCAGGCTGCGTCACTCACTAGCCGCGTGTCCTTGCACACGTCTGTGGTTTTCCTTAACTCTAAGATGGGGCACTGGTGTTTTGCAGGGATAGATCAAGCACATGACAGGCTTGGTCCAGGGCCTAGAGCTCAGTAAGTGCAAACCTCTGTTTTTGTGCATGTGTGTGTGCCATGTGCACATATGTGTGCATGTACGCGTGTGACATGTGTCTCCTCCCCTGCTGGTGGGGAGTGCAGCCCAGAACCCACTGTGGCCCAGGAGACTGACAGCTTTTCCTGGGTCTCTCCCCAGATTGCCAAGGGGTCATCGAGGACGTCGTCTTGCTGGGTGCGCCCGTGGAAGGAGACGCCAAGCACTGGGAGCCTTTCCGGAAGGTGGTGTCCGGAAGGATCGTCAACGGCTACTGCAGGTGTGTCCCAACCGCACGTCAGCGAGGGGTCAACAGTGGTTATCGAGCAGCCGATGTCCCTGTACTGGGGACGCATAGCTTAGGTGGGACCAAGGCCTGGCCCCTGTCCTGGAGGTCCCAGGACCTGGCCAAGCAGTGTGGCCCTGCTAGGAACAATGTCGAAGCCAGGTGTTCTACCCTGGGAAGCAGCTGTCCCATAGGATGATTGACAGCGGAGGAAAGACCCTGAAGAGCCTGTGTCAGCCCTGAGACCGTCTCATTTCTCCCTTCTTTCGGGATTTGGAGCACACATGCACACAAGTGTGTCCAGTGTGTTTCTAACCGTGCAGTCAGCTATGCGGGATCCAGCCACCTTAACCACCCCGTAACTGTTTTTATAATAGCATGTGCACACCCCTGAGGGAGAGCGCCGTCAGCAGGGCCTCATTACTCTGTGACCCCCTTTCCCCAGTCCTCTAGCTCATCAGGGTATTGGGGCACCCCCGTGGCCCCCAGCATGTTTTCTAGCTATCTTGGGATCCAAACCTATGATCAACCATGGGGTTCTCCATCACTGTAGGCCACACTGCCCACAGACTGCCACAGAGGCTGGGCCTGTAGAAACAAACCTTTTTCTCTTTTTTTAAGTTTTTGCCATACGGCATGTTTGCTTGCTGGAAGGGGGAGAGAGAGAGACAGAGAGAGGGAACGTGAAAAATCACTCCCCGGGGGGGGTGGTCTCGCCACAGTCCCTTTGCCTCTATTCTCCTTTCAGGATTTCAGGCATACATGCACACACACCTGGCATGATTTTCAAACTGCCAGGGCTGGCACTTGAACTGCAGTCAGCTATGTGGGAATCCAACACCTTAACCACCACGCCACCTGCCGTGGTGGCCCAATGACAGACAGCAAGCTCCCCAGGGTCTGTGCAGCCTGGTGGTAAGGAGAGGGTGACGGGGAGCTGCGGCCAAGGGTCCCAGGGGCACTGAGAAACCAACACATTCGTGAGACTCCCTTTATTGTGATGCTTGCTTCATTGCCGTGGTCTGGAGCAGAACCTGCAATGTCTCTGAGGTAGGACTGTGTTTTGTCATCACCATCAGCCACTTGGGATATTCATTCCCCAGATGCTTAGTGAGCACCAACCTCCTGCCAGGCACCAGGGTGGGCCGCAACAAGGGGCAAGACCCAGCCCAGCCTCATGGACTCATGCCCAGCAGGGAAGAGAGGCAGGAAAGCAGACGGCTGCAGCTGGATACACAGAAGCTTGGTGACACCAGAATCTAAGCGCTCTGACAATCGGCAGGTTTTTCCCCAGGTTTAATGCAAATTCACTTAGTGACAAACTTGCCCTGAGCTGATGAGGTGCAGTGATGGGCTTTACTTTTCCCACTGTGCTTCTGGGCCACGTGACAAGGAAACCATCTTAGCCCTTTCCAGAACAGTTTGGGTATGTGGGCTCCAGTATAGCCAGGTGATCTTTCTAAAGTCCCCAATGTGGGACCAGACAGAGGTGCAGCAATAAAACATGATGCTCTGTGAGACTGAGCCATGTGGGAAGGTCCCGTGTTCACAGCCAGGGACCTCCCTGAGTCCCGCCAGGCACGGGCGTGCCCATGATCTGAGGCTGGCTGAGGCTGGGGGTGATTGGTGGCATTAAGGCCCTGTTCGAGGTGGGGCCAGCAGGCAGCATGATGGTTAAGGAAGCATGGTTGGCCCACATGGCCAATCACTATTCAAATCCTGAACCCGGTGGCTTGAAAACCATGCTGGTGTGTGTGTGTGTGTGTGTGTGTGTGTGTGTGTGTGTGTGTGTGTGTGCCCAAAATCCCAGGAAAAGAAGGAGTTGGGGCGTGGTCCTCCTCTCTGGGGGAGGAGGGTCTCACTCTGCATCTCACTGTCTTTCTCTTCTTTCTCCAGCAAGTGTGTGCACCTTTTAAAAAACCTTTTTAAAAAAGGACCCTGTTGGGAGTACTATGTGTCTCTCTTTGTCTCTCTGTCTCTCTCACCTATGGAAGAGAGAATTTTTTTTTTTTAAATCCAGAGCATTATGGATCCTGAAACATGATAGGTTCCCAAGGATGTTGGATAAGGGACCCATATTCAGAATATCTTTGCTTCAAAAACAGAAAATGTAGAGTAAGTCATCCAGAGCAGGTCACCTCAAAGGACATTGAACGTTTAACATGGGGCTGGCAAGCGGCACGGTGGTTAAGGCACTGGACTCCCAGAAGGCCAACCACAGTTCAAGTCCCAGACCTGGCAGCTTGCTTTCTCACTTTCCCTTTGTCTCTCTCTGGTCAAATTAAAAAATAATAGTGACGATGATGAATAAAATTAAATAATTCTAAAAAAAGGAAAAGAAAGAAAGAAACAGCAAGGTTGGGTGATTAGTTGTAGCTGGCCAAAAGAGAAAGAAAAAAACAAGGGATCAACAGGTGGCGTGGTGGTTGAGGGCGCTGGATTCCCACATGGCCAAGTACAGTTCTAGTCTTGGACCTGGCGGCTTGCTCTCTCGCTTGCTCACTCTCTCTCTCTCTCTCTCTCTGACTGATCAAATGAATAATAATAATAATAATAATAAATAAATAAAGTTAAACAAAATAATTTTTAAAAAAAGACTCGAGGGCTTTAACAGGAGAGGCCTGACTCCCTTAACACCATGTAAACATAACACTGGAGCAGGCGCCATGGTGCAACAGAGCTGCTCTGGAGAGGCCAAATCCCACACAGCAACTGCAGTTTAAATCCCTGGCCCAGTCAGTCTGAAATGCTCTGGGCGCCCACTTGAGAGCTGGAGATTGGGTGGACTGGAGGAGACAGGAGGAAGGGGCTCACCATGTGCCCCTGTGAGGGTGTTCCTCTCCATGTCTCTCTCTGTTTCTGTCTCTCTTATGTGAATGCACTCTATTTTAGATAAAATAAATACGTTTTTTTTTAAGTTTAGAAAAGTGAGGCTGAAACATTTGCAAGAGAAGTGGCTGATTCCTCTGGGCTAGTGGATTTTGCAGCAGGAAACTGGAAAGGCTGCACAGGAACTCAGTGAGAGACGAGAGCTGGAGCAAGAGTCAGTAGCTCGGAGGCTCCTGGGAGACGGCAGGAGCCAGAGAGACTGGCATGTGCGTTCCCTGAGGGGCGGAGCATGGAGGAAGGCAAAAGTGCTGGGCTGCAGCCGCTAAGCTGAGGAGTGCACTCAGGGAGGAGGAACAGGCTCCAGCCCGAGGTTAGGAGAAGCTCGGAGGCACTCAGCAAGCTGCATGCCGAGACCTTAGACTGGGCATGAGGACACAGAGATGGACAGGTGAGAAGAGCTCCCATCTAATAGAAAGAACTCATATGGAAACGGATTTTAAAAAAGTATAACTGCAATAATGGGGGGGAGGGCCAGCAGGTGGCATAATAGTTAGGGCACTGGACTCCCACAGGGCAGACTACAGTTCAAATCCCAGACCTAGCAGCTTGCTTTCTCTCTCTCTTATGTCAAATTTAATAACAATAATAATAAATTCAATTGGGACCAGCAGTTAGCGTAATGGCTATGTCTCTGGACTCCCACATAGTCGACCGCGATTCACATCCCGGACCCGGTGGCTTGAAACTCACACCAGGCGTGTGTGCATACATGCCCAAGATCCTGAGAGGAGAAAGGAGAAGGGATTGTGGCATGACCATCCCCCCTGGGGGGTGATTTCTCGCTTTCTGTCTCTCTGTCTCTCTCTGTCTGTCTGGCGAGTGCACGCGCCCTACAGCAAACCCCTCTTTTAAAAAAAAATGGTCTAATGGGCCCAGCCACAGTGTCACAGGAAGTAAGGTGCCATTGCATAATAGTGGAGCCATGTGGGCAGGCCTGGGGTTCAGATCCCAGGTTGGCCTTAACACACCTGGTGTGCCCACAGTGCACCCATGATCCTGGCTGGCTGGAAGGCCAGGGGAGGATCGCGGCATGACAAGACCCTGTGGAGTCTCTCTCTCTAAACAGACTTAAAAACCTCAATAATGCAGCAACGGGCGGAAGACCCGGCAAGTGCCAGGCTCGACCCCTTGGCTCAGTTCTTAGAATCAGGATATGGGGAGCTGGCAGGTGGCATGGTCGGTAAGGGCACAGGACTCCCCACATAACTGACCACAGTTCCAGTCTCAGATCTGGTGGCTTGCTTTCTCACTTTCCCTTTCTCTCTCTCTCTTTCACTCTATCCCTCTCTGGTCAAATTAAAATAAGTAAATAAATAAAGTTAAATAAAATAATTCTTAAAAAAAAAAAAAAAGAATCAAGATATGGTAGAAAGAACGAAGAGGACCAGCTGGTGGCATGGGGGTTAAGGCGGCGAAAACCCAAAATGGCCAACGGTGGGG